CATAATTCCAAGAAAATAAATCAAAAGAGGAATTCGCTTTTAAAAGATTGATTATATTAGAGAAAATATCTATTACATGTAAGGAAAACAAGACATCCATCAGAGATAAACATTAAATGAATTACAACAGCTAAATAAAGAGCACAATAATAAATAATACTATGATGTTACATTCCAAATGTTTGCACACTGTGGAGAATGTTTACCAAGAAAAAGAAAAACAATTTTCCCTCAAACAAATTATCAACTGGTAAGCTCTGCAATAGAAATGCAATGAAGTGCACATCTCTAGTGTAGTCTGCATACTTGTTAACAGAGCAAGTTTTTAAATCCAGTTGTTTGATTGTGCAACTTCCCAAAGGTGAGAACAACAGGAGGAGAATCCTCATGTTGAAGACAGAACTCACTTAAAAATGCAGCAATGGGGAAGAAAGGAAGTATCTGAGGAAGAAACAGCTAGAGTCCTGAGTTAGCAAGAGTCAAGATCACAGCTGATGCCATTCATCCTCACAGGGCACATGAGTACAAGATCAGCATTGCCAGGCTGTCCCTTCAGGATAAGATTTTGTACATAAATCCCTGGGAACCATGGCAGTTCCAGACACTAAGAAATTATTCATATGTCATCTTGATTGACTAGATTAATGGACTTTCCCCTGAGAAATAAACTTTCTCACAATTGTACAATGATTTAATAGAACATATTTTGGTCTGAGTGTTGTTCCTATTAAATATAAGAAGTGGACATTGTTAAAATAATTTTGCTTGCACAAAAAAACACAAATTTTCCAGAAACCAAAAAGTTGCTTTCAAAACACAAGACATAAACAGTGGTGCTGATGCTTAAGTCCATGTCTCCCAAGTCAAACTCTCAGTGTCCTCAACAGCAATCTGAATTAATGAAATGTTTTATTCTGCACAATACACACATCCAGATGATACATGTGCTGTTGATATTGATTTGAAGCAATTGATGCAAGTCAACTGTGATAGATGTCATAAGCTATCTATGCCGTAAACTGGGAGATTCTGTGTAAAGAGAAGCATGTACTAGGCTTATATGTAGAAATCTGTTTTCAAATCAATAAAGTGGCAGAGTGTCATGTGCATGGCAATTAAAGAACTGAAGATCTAATCTAAAGGTTGACATATTGTTATTGATGTATCTTGAGTGAAGACAAATCTCCCCAGAGGTCAGTAAGGCTAATCCAAGGATAACTAACAGGTTTTCCCACAGTAAGTCAAAGAACATTATCTAAGAACAAGTCAAAGAATCCATTAGATAGGGAAACTGAGGCATAATGGTTAAGTGAAAAATCTCTGATCAAGTTAGGAAATAAATGGGGATAAGAACTGAATTCTACTGAGTGCTCATTTCAACAGTCTAAAATTAGAAATACATGAAATATCAAAACATATTGCATCTTTCTCTTATTAGCATGTGTGGTAGTTTGAATGTAATTGGCCCCCATAAGCTCCTAGGGAGTGTGGCTTTGTTGGAGTAGGTGTGGTCTTGTGTCACTGTGGGGGAGGGCTTTGAGGTTTCCTATACTCAAGATACCACCCAGCATCACAGTCTATTTTCTGTTGCCTTCTGATCAAGGTGTAGCCAGCCCCTTGTCTGCCTGCATGCTGCCATGCTCCCCAACATGATGACAGACTGAACCTCTGGAACTGTGAGCAAGCCACCTCAATTAGATGTTTTCCTTATAAGAATTGCTGTGGTCATAATGTCTCTCCACAGCAACAGAAACCCTAACTAAAACAGTATGCATTAACTGTACAAAATAATAGGTGTAATTATGAGTTTTAATATATGTATATTAAAATCCAGATTTTGCATATAAGAGAAAGCATTCAATATTTGTAAATTAATCCAGACACTGTGGAAACTACTATGGAGGTGCTCAATAAGAACAAAAACTGTAACTACACTTGATCCTGTTATCCCATTTCTGGAATCCTAACCACAGAAATCCAACCCAATGAAGATAGCAGCGTATTTATGTTTGCTGTGGTACTTTAACAACAGCCACTTCATAGAATCAGCCTAGGTGATCATCAGCAGGTGATGGAAAGAAGAAATATGACATAAATACACAGTTCAGTATAAGGCAGCTGCAAACAGGAATGAAATGAATTCATTTGTAGAAAAAATAGATGGAACTGGAGCCGGTCATGTTGAGGGAAATCAATAAGACTCAGAAAGACAATTTTAAAGATTATATATATGAGTATCTAACTGCAATTATGCATGTGCACCACAAGCTCCCTTCTGTAAGTAGAGGCCAATAAAAGCATATTAGAGCCCATGGAACCAGAGTTATGGACAGTTGTGAGCCACTGCATGAGAACCATGTGCTAGGAACCAACCCAGGTGCTCTGTAAAAGCAGAAAATACTTTTACCTGCTGAGCCATCTCTCCTCGCAACAAATATAAATTTTTAAAGAAGGCCCTCTGCCTTCCAAACAGTGTCCCATATATAAAGCAAGGCAGAATAGAAAGGACCATCTGAGGATTCTGAACTTCCTTATGAAATTTTCAAAGAAACAGCTCTGCTTGACCATGAGTTTGTCATGTCTAAAAAAAAAAAAAAAAATTACCAAGCTGTACCATCAAAGCTACCCTGAGTATAAATGCAGTTCAAACTCTCCTTTGGGTTACTTCCAGGTGTCCATGTAATTTAAGCATCAGCACACCAGTCTCCTGGCACTCTGTCATAGATATTTGAGTTTAAGAGATGTCTCCCACTGTGCCAGCATTTCATAGATGTTTGTGACTCTTCTCAGTGATAATCAACCGCACCATAAAAATGAATCACTAGACACAGTTTAATGAACTATGGTTTGCAATGCAAATGGAAATGATGGAGCCAACGTTTCTAGATTCCAAACTATCTATATTTCCTCTACATTCCTCAGAGTTAATTAGCTTCATAAAAGTTGTCTAAGATGGGTATAAGATGTGACTCCTTTATATTTATTGTGACTAAATATGAAAATTAATTTATCTTCAAATTAACACAGTACCAAGAACAAATATTGTTGGTAATAATGATGATTATGAAAAGAAAGCAGTTAGACCTAATATTAAGTATTAGAGAGGCTGGATAGAATATCTTAAACATTTTCTAGCTAAAAGGTTATATTAATTGCTCGGTGTTAGAAGGTATTTCATGCCTGTTGGGTTTTGCAATATGGTGACATGGACAGCATTCAAACATTTTCTAATGAGTTTTGAAAGGTATGAAAGAAAAATTTCTGGATGGGTGTAATCCTTTAGTTGCCTTTAATCCCAGAACTTGGGAGGCAGAGGTAGGTGAAGCTCAAGGCCAGCCTGGTCTACAGAGTGAGTTCCAGAACAGCCAGGGCTACACAGAGAAAGCCTGTCTTGAAAACAAACAAACAAAAAAATCTAGAAATTTATACTTTGTGTATCTGTACACATTATAAAATGTATGACATTTATCAACTAAAATGCCAGCCAAAGTCTGAAATATTAATAAATATAAAAAGCTTATTTATAATTTATTACGGATACAACCTTGGATATTTGCAAAGTTTTATAACCAGAAATCACAGATCTGAGTTTCAGAAATCTCTCCTCCTCTTTAGTTTACCCAAGGGTTCTATGAACTTTCCTCATAGTCATTACAAACAAATAACTACTCTTTTCCTCATTATTTCACTAAGTGGCTATTAGACTATAGCAATGTATGTGAAGATATAACATTCTCAAATGTTATCTTGCAAATAATTATCTCACAAGAAAGTAAAGTCCATTCTGTATTTTAAAGATGTCTCAGTATGACGGTCACCACATGAGAAAGAAGTCTGCTACCCAGCTATTCACACAGGTGACCCACAGGACCTCTGCCTCTCATGAAGCTAAACAAGCTACATCCTATTTAATTCATTTCATAGGGAAAAAAGCAAATTATATTTTGTGGAGAGCTATACACTGTCTACTCCAGAGGATGAAAATTCAGATTATCTGCTCTGACCTTTCCTTGTCTCTTTTTTTTTCTTTTTTTCTTTTTTTAATTTTATTTTACAGTACAATTCGGTTCTACATATCAACCACGGATTCCTTTTTTCTCCCCCCTCCCACCCCTCTCGCCTTCTCCCCAGCCCACCCCCCATTCCCACCTCCTCCAGGGCAAAGCCTCCCCCTCGGACTGAGATCAACCTGATAGACTCAGTCCAGGCAGGTCCAGTCCCCTCCTCCCAGGCCGAGCTAAGCGACCCTGCATAAGCCCCAGGTTTCAAACAGCCAACTCATGCAATGAGCACAGGATCCGGTCCTGTTGCCTGGGTGCCTCCCAAACAGATCAAGCCAATCAACTGTCTCACTCATTCAGAGGGCCTGATCCAGTCGGGGGCCCTCAGCCATTGGTTCATAGTTCATGTGTTTCCATTCGTTTGGCTATTTGTCCTCGTGCTTTGTCCAACCTTGGTTTCAACAATTCTCGCTCATATAAACCCTCCTCTTTCTCGCTAATTAGACTCCCAGAGCTCCACCTGGGGCCTAGCCATGGCTCTCTGCATCCAGTTCCCTCAGTGGTTGGATGGGGTTTCTAGCACGACAATTAGGGTGTTTGGCCATCCCATCACCAGAGTAGGTCAGAGGGTCAAGGGAAAGAGAGCTTGCGGGAGCGGTAGATCCCAGCTGGATCAAGAACAGAGAGGGAAAACAAGGAATAGGAGACCAAGGTAAATGAAGAGCACATGAGAATAGGAAGAAGCAAAGTGCTAGAGAGGCCCACAGAAATCCACAAAGATACCCCCACAATAGACAGCTGGCAATGGTCGAGAGACAGCCCGAATTGTCCTTGTCTCTTGATAGACATCTTGAAACTGCAAACCACTGGGAACAGACAGTGATGCAAGCTCATTCTTGGGCTGGGAGAGAGTACAGTTGATGAAATGCCTGCCCAACAAGTACACGGAGTTCATCGCCCAAGGCCCACGGGAAAGAAGGTGGGCATGACAGTACACACCTGTAATCCCAGTGCTGGAAGGCAGCTACACAGGAATCCTTGAAGCTTCCTGGCCCGGCAATCTTACTGAACTGGTGAGTTCCAGATGCAGTAAGAGACCCTGTATTAAAAAATAAGGTGAAAAGCTGTTGAAGAAGACACCTGACATCAACTTCTGGCTTCCACATTACACACACACACACACACACACACACACACACACACACACACACACACACACACACACACAGAGAGAGAGAGAGAGAGAGAGAGAGAGAGAGAGAGAGAGAGAAATTATTCTTGTCTCTAGACATAAAACTCTGTAGAGATTCAGTTGTCTTTCACTTTATGAAACATTAGTTTTTCTGTCATTTAAAAATCCATTTAAATAATCACATATATATGTATACAATCTTGATATATATATATATATGATATATATGTTCTTAAAACACTTTTTATTCTGATCCACATCTACCTAGATCTCTCACTACTTAAACAAATGCTTTAAAACACATTTAGGTTTTTTATCTGAATGTGTATAACACATTTACTCTTTTTAAAAAGTATCTTTAATGCATGGCAGTCACAGAAGTGTTTACTGAATCCATTTACATCCAGTCTGACTTTAAAGAGCTCAATCTACTAGTGTGCTGCTCATGTGAAAGTCTACCATGTAGAGTTACCAGTGCATCATATGTAGTACACATAAGTCAACATCTGATAACTGATTTATAGGCAGAGCAGATGTAAAACACCAACATAAATAATGAATTCTTCTCACTTAAATCACTTCCCTTATTATCAAAGCAGTCATCAGAACTGCAACTCTTCAATGTTCTTTCTTATATTAAACACACAAGCAACAGAGCCGTTAGTCTGGTGATTTGAGTTAATTTTCCCCTTCCCTAATGATTTAGATTTTTATCATTATTTCTATGAGCTGGTTGCATCAACGCTCCACAGATAACACCTGATCCTATTACTGTCATTCATGGACCTTGTGATCCTTTTCATTTGTTAGTCAGGTTTCAAAATGACAGTGTCTGTCTTATAGAAACAGACAGAAACACCAACAGGACCATCGATTTCTTTCTTGAAGTGGAAAATAAGAGTTATGTTACAAATTTTTTAGACCCTTACAGAGTGAGAAAAAAGTCAATGCTTGCCACAGATAATTTAGTAGAGAGCATCCGATATAAATCTTGCCAAAAAAAAATGAAGCTGCATTCTTGGAAGGCAGTGCAAATCATTGCTTACATAAGAAAGCTGTTGTGACCCTTAGAAAGGCATATTAATAATGTCCATGTCTTCCCTGAAACCACTGAAATACTAGTGAAGAAGGATGGATCCTACTGACCATGCTGTAAATGCAGCTGATACGAGAGGGACTTTATTGCTTCTAAATAATGGTGCCTCAGCATGGATGGTTGTTCCCACAGCCACAGGGAATTAAATCCATTGCTCTAAAAGTTCCCAGGAGAGCAAAGTGTGTCCGTATGAAGGTTCACAATTGGTGTAGGCAGCCCAACATTTTCAGCGGTAAGTAAATATATTTGAACATGCTTGCGTATTTATTTTAAACACAGAGAAGGTGGCTATGACAACTGGATGGGGATTCAAAATTCAAAATCAGATTTTACCTTCAGAGGTCACAGAATTGCCTTGCACATAAACAACCAAGTACAAAACACCATGCAGAGAATACTCGGAAAAACAAGACAGGCAGAAAAAAATATGATCTGAAAGTGAGAGATGACATTCAGCTGTGTGGGATTTGCAGGTTTTTGGTGGGCATGGAATTTAAGCTGGGCCATGAAGAATGAGTGTATGTTGGCAATGGAGAGGACAGGCTGAGCATTCCAAAACCAGGGCACAGCACGTGATGACAGATGGAAGGACATGTAGGCAGAAGAGAAATAATCTTTACATCTCTCAATGACTAATATGTATTTTAGTGAACAATGCGAAATATAAGTCTGGAAAGGTTAATAGGGGACAAATGGCATTAGACCATTTCCTATACTGCTCCTCATACTACACAGTACATCTACCTTTCCTTCACAGACTTCTCACAGATAAGGATCCAATACTGAGAACTGTATTGGGGAATATGAGCTTGTACACTTAAAATTGTGTGTCTGTGCATGCCTCCGTGTGTGTGTGTGTGTGTGTGTGTGTGTGTGTGTGTGTGTGTGTGTGTGTGTGTTTGTGTGTGTGTGTACATAGATCATGAAGGAATTACAAGAAGAGAGGAAGAGACCTTGAGGGAGGCCTAAAGAAGGGAGAATGGAATACACTTGAAAAGAAATCAGAATTGGAGGAATTTGTCAAGGGGACAGGAACCAGACAGAGAAGGGACAGTGGGAGGGGAGCAAATGAAACAAAAAGTATAATGGCATACATGTTTTAAAAAGTTGGAATGAAACATACTTCCTTGAATGTTCACCATAAAAATCAATTTAAATTTATGAAAACAAGAACCAGTAATAGTGACACATACCTCTAATCCTAGCAACAAGGCCAGGGCTGGTGAATCTCTGTGAGTTTGAGTCCAGCCTAATCTATATAAAGAGTTCCAGGGCAGCCAAGGCTACACAGAGAGATCCTGTATCAAAAATATATAAATAAGCAAATAATAAATAAATAAATGAAAATAGAAAAGACAAGTTGGGGCAGCAACTGGAAATAATAGAGGTTCAGTTTAATATTTCAGAAGAGCAATTATTTCCAAATATTTTTTAAAAAAACATGAAAGTTTTCATTTAAACCAAATAGTATGTTGAATACTAAAATTGTAGTGAGTAGCTGTTCCAGCTGTGACCTTGAAGTACTGCCCCAGTGAGGCAGTTGCTAACTGCCACACCTACCTAGGACCTGACCCTGGGGCATGGCCAGGACAGTAGCCCTTAAGACCCAAGATCCAGACATACCGGCACTCTTGGTTTCTTGTGATCCTGGATGCCCTTTTGGTTCCTCATGATCCTGAATGCTGGATGGCAGACTGAGTTAGAGTTCTCCAGAGAACCCCACTGGACTGCACCTCAGCTCTCCTGGATCCTATAACCAACCCCTTTACTGGCTGTAAGTTACCCCAAAATAAACCTCCTTTAAAATATGTGGAGTTGCCTTGATAAATCCCCACATTATAAAATCAAAATGGAGATGTTCTGGAATGAAAGCCTAGAGCTTCCCACCTTTTCAGCCAACTCACCAGGAAAGTCTCCAGCCTCTGGGGGCTGGGAGGGGAGGATGACCTATACATTTCCCACTATTGTCTAAAATGACGCTCTACTTTGAAGGAAAGCGTGTGCAATAGAGTTGCAGGAGATAAGAGATCTCACTAGGCCCCACTCCCTATATGTTCTATTGTCACTTCCCCAGGTAAGACTACTTCTCCTGCACTCTGTATTCTTTAGTTGTCTGTAGTCCTATGTGTAGAGGTCAAGACCTGTAGTCTTTCCCCATCAATTTTGCATGTATACCAAATGGTCAGCCCTGAAAACATACATGCAAGTAACATTATACAGCCTGAGCAGGCTATATTTAGGAATATGTATGAATATACATATGCATATGCTTGTAGTAACTATGAGTGAAAAAAGAAGCCATGAATTTAAATTTAAGCAAGGGGTCTATATGGGAGGTTTGGGAGCAAGGAAAGGGAAGAGTGAAATGATTTAATTACATTACAATCTCACAAAGCAAATAAATACATTTCTTAAAGGAAAAAATATTCTACCATCTCAACATCTCTAGTTGGGAGATGAAGCTTCTGCACATGAACCTTCAGGAAATACATTCAATGTTCAGCAGTTATCATCTGAGGTGCTGCTATCTAGCACAGTTCTTCTTGCTCTTCATCTTGGCAAATTTCATCACAACCCAAAAACCTCTCCTCAGATGATGTTATCTTAGAAATCATGGGTTACAGAGCCAGTCACATACCAACTTCAGCTTTACATTTACAAGTAATCCCAGGCATAAGAAAGAAAGTTCACGTAAATTACAAATTTAATTCTTTTTCTGAAATATTGAGTCTTAAATGGTGACTCTCTTCTAACTGTGGAATGGTTTCTACTCCTTTCTTCTGACTTTAGAGTTCAATTCTCTGGACCACCCTCAGTCAATCTCTATTCTTCAGCATCTGGCATGGAGCAGACACATTGATAACTTCCTACTTCCTGCTCAGTTCTAGAAAAACAAGCCATCTTAAGATGCTCATGAGTACTTACACTATGGTACAGACATTTTTGTTGAGCTTAACAGATCCTTCTAAGTTATGGTAACCTGTGGAAGATGCTTTCCTGCATCCTTCCTCAAATGCTCAGTCCGTTCTGATGCACTCCCTGCCTATACTTTAGTTTCCTTTTCTGCCAACATTGGTCCACACCAAGGATTTGTCATCATGCTATAAATGTATTGACTTTATAGAAGATGGAGGTTGTCATGGGAAACAAAGTTAATCATAAAGGCATAGATTTCTACAAGCATAGTAGCTCTTTTCTCTGTTCTCTTAAATGCATGTTTTTGATGCAATTTGAATATCAGTGTGCATTTTCCCAACACTTTTCTGTTAGTGGGGAACCTACCAGGTCAATCTATCTTCCTCTGTCCTCCTGGGAAATGCAGGGTGTGAATTTCCTTATGGTTTCTCTGGAGGGCTGGGTTTACAACATAAATGATCGAGTGACAAGGCTGTATGCCTTGGACTTTCTGACACAGACCTTAGATTTATAAAAATGCTCCAGATACAGTTTCTGAAAACTGGGGTAACTCTCAAATGTTAGCATTTAGGTATCCCTATCATAAGCTAAACAGTCTCATTGACAGAGAGCTCCCAATAATAAACCAAAAGGAAGAAAGACCTAAAGTGATAAAAATTTTAATTAAATATGTTATATCACCATTTCATTGCAAATTCTCAAAACTGAGAAGCTGAGTGCTGATGATATACTTTCATTATAGGCAAAGGAAAAATAATCACAAAAATAAGAGTTTTCATTGGTAAGCAATTTTACCAATATGACTGTCAAAAGCAAGAAAAAGAATACACACCATATGGCATGTAAGGCATCCAGAAGCCACAGAGATTGTCTTGAGTCATAATCACCTTATATTGTTGCCTCCATAATCACATGCCAACTGCACTTATTGGCTTCTCACTTCTTCCTGGTAGGTTTTGCTTCATTACCCAGGTAGCATCTACTTATTGGAGCTTAAAATAAAACAGATTTGTAAAAGAAAGCAAAAGTCAGAAAGATTCATTCTTCCTTTGCTAACTTTTCTGTAGAGATATGAACTAATAACACCTTTAACTGGACTGAGAAAATAGTCATTACCCACCACAGTTACACACTCGATTAGGCTCAGCAGGTCCTAGAGTCTTTGGGAGATTTGCCCAGCTTTCTTCTGGAGAATAGAATAATGGAAGCTAAAAGTGATATTTTTTATTCCGTTCATGCAGAGAAATGTTTCCTTTCTTTCTAAACCACAGGAACTTGAGAAATTGAAGAAAAACAAGAGAAGATCAAATGCTAACCTAGTTTATGTAGTGGTGAAAGGCAGTATATGAAAACCTCATATGAGAATCCTTACCTAGAGAAATAAATGTTAGCATTGTGACATGATTCGAATTGAAATTGGTAGAGAAAACATTTAAGCAGTGAGAAGGAAATCACAGACTCTAATGTTAACCAAAGCAGTCAGAACCTTCCTGATGTTTCACACTGAGGGGCCATCATCAGATATGAAATAATCCCAAATTCTATATGTATACTAGAGATTACAGCAAGATTTCATTCTAAGTCAGTTTCATATCCTATACACTGAATATGCTTAAGAACAAAAGAAATAAGTCACAATATTATATTAGAAGATGGTTATAGATCTTTAAGTCAATATTTTTATTTATCCTTAACAGGAAACCCTGGTGACTGAATACATTTTTAACCCTAATGTGTCAGCTTCTAAGAAGAAAGTAGACCTATATAAGACCCCTTGACCCCATGTGGTCTATGTTTCATAGTATTAAAAAGTATTTTATAAGCAACCAAAAGAAAGAATCAATTAATAATTCTATCCAGCGTTGATGTCAATGAATTATAACAATGACCAACATGACAAGATATTCTTAAAGATACAATACTGGCACTCATATTATGGCAGTAACCAAAATCTGTCTACTTGGACTAAAGGACCACTCAGTGTGGGAGAAATAATTCCTGGTGCTAGACATCTATTCAACTACCTGGGGCTAGTGAGGTTGTGGGTCTTAGAGGAGAACCTACTACTCTCTGTTTACTAGACCAGTATATTTCTAGCTACATTCTAAAACGTATCATTTTACCCAGAGATAAATATGACTTACTCCTTGTCAAAGAAACCATACTTTACAGATAACTGAGATGATCACAGGAAACCACAACAGGTCATAATGCATAGACCATCAGATTGTGTGAATCCCATACCCAATGGGCATATCCACAATATAACTATTATACCTAAGGGGCAGGAAACATCTCAGAAGAAGAAGGCAGAATGATTGAAAGAAACAGAGGAATAGGAAGTCTGCTGTGAGGTTGTGTTTCCTGGAAATGATAGAGAAGATTCATCCATAATACCTCAACAATAGGCTGCCTAAACAAGACCTGAACAATGATAATATCAACTGACATGCTAACACAGATAGGGGCAATCTCATGGGTTCCCAACCATAGACAAAGAACTACAAGCAACTAATGACTATTAAAAGAGGGAGAATTAGCCTCTCCCAGAGAAGAGACCCCTAATCCAAACAATGTGGTCAGCCCTGAAATCATATCTACACAAATCGCATCAGATTCAAAAGGTTGTATTTATGCATTTTCACACACACACACACACACACACACACACACACACACACACACACACACACTTACAACAATTATAGTAAAAAGAGGCCAATAATTTGAGAGGGAGAGAGGGGGAACATGGAGGGTTTGGAGAGAAGACCAGAAAGGGTAAAGAGATGTAATTATATTTGAAGTTTTAAAAAATTAACAAAAGTTTGGAAATTCAAAAGAGCTATATATGAAGTACAACAGGGTTATAGATATATTAAAGAGTAGAGAAAAGAAGAGAAAAAAAGTTATATGAAGACCCAAACAGTTTAGAAGTCTGTGGAAGAGAAATGATTCTATTCCTCATTGTTCCCATTATTACATATGTACCTATTTCCTAGCTTTGTTAAGCACTGTGCCACCTTCCTTCTCAAATAATCTCAATCTGGACAATGAAGTGACTAGTTACATAACTGTGGTCACAAAATAAAGACTGGTAGATAAAATTCATGGTGGATATGTGCTATTTAGTTAGTTAAAATTTCTTCTTCCTTGAAACTATCCTTCATTTTTTAAATTTACTTTTTTATTTTTTGGAATTTCATGGATAAGTATTGTATTTACAGCCCTCCATTCCCCCTTACAACTCCTCTCATTTGCCCACAAATCCCTCCGAAATTCTACCTGCAATTTTAATAGGCACTTTTTTACTTTTATCATTTCTTATGGAGCATATATTTCTTCCATATTTCTACTCTCTTCTCAAATAGTATAAAGATATTAA